GTTAATTCCTGAATTGTACCATCAGTGCCGCCATATTCGATTGGCAAGATATCTGCTGGAACATCCTTAAAACAGCTCTGCGACATGTGTGAGTAGATATAAAATCTGTTCTTCATCTTCTCTGTCATGAAAGATTTCATAATCCTGACAATACCATCGGCAATTCTCGGGGCATTGATAAAGTTAATCGATTGTACCCTTAGAGGGTAGCAGCTCTGCCACCCGTGTATTACATTCATTAATGTATGGGGTGGAAAATGAGCTATGTAACGTATTGTTGGATTGACCACGTCTATGAACACTGCGCAACCATGTACAGATGCAATGGCATCGCCATTATTCTTCATCGCTAGTTCTACCATCATGATACCGATCTAATAAAATAATCATTTATAAGAAAAATGGGAAATATTTTGTCATGACGACATCACTAATAAACACATCGTTTGAGCGTTATGTGCTATATTTTAATTTTTATCTAATAATACCTTAATAACACCTTAATAATACCTTAATAAAGTCCGATAATTTATGTTTTGTCGGATTATATCGAGTACCGCGTATAATGAAATTCAATTTTCCTTGACTATCCAGTTTTCGCAAAGGCAAAAACAATCTAAATGTAAACGAATTATTTTAGAATTCTTCGCAGAAGTCAACCTTCGTTTTTCAGCAATGCATATATTGAATTGCATATAAAAATTTTTAATAAAATAATTTTACTAGAAAATAAAATAGAAATAATATAAAAGAGTTGACAAATAAGTTAAAATCTAAAGATACAATAATTTGTCATAAAAATTAAATAACAATTAAATAACAATTAAAAAGTAATAAGATTCCTTATGATAAAACAACATGTGAAACTGCTCCGTTATTTTATTCAGTTACGAATATTCTTTATTTGACATGTACTTCACGTGCCTTCATTTCACATAAAAATTAAAATTACAATTTATAAGTTTTCTATTATGTCTCCAACTTTCATAATTAAAAAATAAAAAATTTACTATTGATCTCTATTGTAATTAAATTAAAATTATTAACAAAACTTATATTTATTATGATAAATATAAATTAATATATAAAAGAATTGAGTTTTGTCAATAAACTGCAATGTTGTAATATCTTTTTTAAGAAAGATAAATTAATAATAATAATAATTAAAATTCAAAAATTTACCAAATATTTTACAATAAATCATTTCAAATTGGATAATCTAAATTATTTTCCAGTGTTAAAGAAGAGGAGAAATTTTATTTAAATGATATATTCATACTTTGAAATATTGGTTGTTACCCCATATCAAGCAGCTTCTGCAATTCCGGTTGAAACGGATCCTTATTCATGTACCATTCCGGTAAGTCGGATCGCTGCTTATAATAGTTTCGCATCCTAATCTTAGTTTTCTCAAGATTAAACTTGCAGACTCTCAAAAATCGCAGAATAAAAAAATTATCTAGATAATTCAAAATAACTTTTAAATAAAAAGCTGTAAAAGCAGCGCAAAATCTATTATTAGGTATTGCAAATTAAATAATGTTTTTCTAAATGTGTATATAGAACAACATGATTTTAAAAAATGTCTAATATCTAAATGTATACATTTTTTTTATTTTTTTATTAAAAGAAAAAATAAAACAAGTCAATCAAGAAACTATTTAAAAATTGACGAAATGCAGTAAGACAATCACGAACTCTTTAAAATAAATTTTTCATCAAGTCTCTATTTTTTCATTTATTTTTACTTGTCGAAATTTTCAGATGGTTTTTGTTTTTAATGAAGAAGTCAGATACTTTGATACATTATTTTTTGCCTTTATTTTATTCAACGAAATTAAAAATAAATTTAACAAGATATAAGCAGCAGATTTCACAACATGCCAATTAAAAACAATTAAGCGCATTATTGCTCCAAAAGTAATGAATTTTCCATTGAATGATATTTCAACACGTGAGACCGCTGTCATTTTTACCGATTCGTATGCGCAATTCGTCTTTGATCCAGCCTCTAATTTCCGCGATGGCGTTCTCTCTATTTTCGTCGGATTCATTCAAATTTTTCGCCGCATATTTCTTATCCTCACTGGTCAACTCTTGCAAAACGTG